CCCCTCATCATGTATTCTGATGTGCTTCCTACTATGTCTGAGCCCGAGCTTAGCCTTTCATTGTAGTCGTGACATGTAATACAAACATATATATATATCCTGACAATAGTTGTAAGCTTTGTATTCTGATACTATGTTTTTAAGCATATTCAAGACTACTCAGTTTTTAAAATATGGATTAATCCAAGAAGTGTTTAAGTACGCCAGGCATTTTAATGTGGGGCACCAGAGCAGACGGCCTGGAGTCTAAACCCCTGTTCCTCTGTAGCACTTAGAACACAGCACTACTCTAGCTGTCATTAGCCCCCAGGCAGTTAAGCTCACCAGGGAGCTTCTTAAGATTTTTGTGTCTTTATCATCATAGAAGAATTTCTTGGGGCCATTGTTACTGTATGCTAGGGATAGCCACCACCTGCCATGCTGGCATCCCTGTGTGGGTACTGATTTGATCTGGCTGCTCTACTCCCGACCCACCTCCTTGCTAACGCTAGAAGAGGGCCCACAGGCTCTTTCCTGGCTTTGGGTTGGCCCAGTCCCTGCTGTTGGGACTAAAATTGGCAAATAGCTCATCCTGTCCTCCTATAGCCGACTTTCAAGTAAATAACTCGATTTTCTCGGAGAACAGAACTACCACAGTTACTTCGTTTGCCCATGTTACTGAAGACAGTATTAGTCGGTAGGTGATGTGACTGCACAGTAGAGAATATCCTGGCCCAGCATTGCTTCCACTTGGCATGGCAACCAGAAACTAGTGTGTAAAAAGAAAGATGGTTGTAATGTCGGAGTCTAGCATGACTGAACACAGGTACAGTGCATTTTTTTTAGGATTTATTTTTATTATTTTTTTATTGGAAAGGCGGATATACAGAGAGGAGGAGAGACAGAGAGGAGGATCTTCCGTCCACTGATTCACTCCCCAAGTGAGCACAATGGCCGATGCTATGCCGATCTGAAGCCAGGAGCCTCTTCTGGGTCTCCCACGCGGGTGCAGGGTCCCAAAGCTTTGGGCCATCTGCTTTCCTGGGCCACAGGCAGGGAGCTGGAAGGGAAGCGGGGCTGCCGGGATAGAACCGGCACCCATATGGGATCCCGGGCGTGCAAGGCGAGGACTTTAACCACTTGCACCACCGCGCCAAAAGATTGTTTTATTTTTCTTGGACAGATATACAGAGAGGAGGAGAGACACAAAGGAAGATCTTCTATCTGATGGTTCACTCCCCAAGTGGTCGCAAAGGCCAGAGCTGAGCCGTTCTGAGGCCAGAGGCCAGGAGCTTCTTCTGAATCTCCTGTGCAGGTGCAGGGTCCCAAGGCTTTGGGCCATCCTCCACTGCTTTCCCAGGCCACAAGCAGGGAGCTGGATGGGAAGCGGAGCCGCCTGGTTAGAACCGGCGCCCATATGGGGTCCCGGGCGTGCAAAGCAAGGAGTTAACTCCTCAGCTACCACATCAGGTCCTACAGTGGATTTTTGAATGTTGGAATCAGGTTGCACTGCCAGGAACCATCATTTCAGTAGAATTTTATATAAATTTATAGATTTGATAGGTCATTGTTTCTTAAGGTAGAAGAGAGTTCTTGGAAAAAGTCCACAGAAATAGTATGAAAAAAGAAAGTATGTTTGGATTTCAAACTTTTACACCAGAGTAAACTTAAAGTTTAAGTTTTTTTTTTCTATTTTTTCCAAGAACTTCTGAGTCATCAAAAAATGTTTTTAAAGATTTTTTTTTTTTTGTATTTTTATTGGAAAGGCGGATATACAGAGAGGAGGAGAGACAGAGAGGAGGATCTTCCGTCCACTGATTCACTCCCCAAGTGAGCACAATGGCCGATGCTATGCCAATTTGAAGCCAGGAGCCTCTTCCGGGTCTCCCACGCGGGTGCAGGGTCCCAAAGCTTTGGGCCGTCCTTGACTGCTTTCCCAGGCCACAGACAGGGAGCTGGATGGGAAGCAGGGCTGCCGGGCTTAGAACCGGCACCCATATGGGATCCCTGGCGTGCAAGGCGAGGACCTTAACCACTGCGCCATTGCGCCGGGCCCGAGTCATCAAATTTGAAAACTCTGACATAAAAGATTTTTAAACTAGGCAGGGTAGCTTATACCTCATTTGCTTTAAGTGTTTTGCTTTCATGAACTTGAAGGGCAGAGAGAGGGAGATGAGTGTTCTGTTTATTGGTTCACTTGCCAAATGTCCCCCCAGCCATGCTGGGCAAGCCAGTGGCAGGAGACCATCTGAGTGTGTCGTCTGAGCCACCGTTGGCGTCTGCCAGGATGCGTTAGTAATGCACTGGATCAGAAGAGAACATGCTGCAGCTAGAGTTAGCCCTCCAGCGTGTGATAACTCAGACGGCGGCTTAACGTGCTGAGCCATGATGACTGTGTACCTCCCTGCCCTAGAGTATCGCTTGGTAATGAACACTCTGAAAAACTGTGCACTTTAAATACACCCATCTGAGCCTGCGTGGGATGCCTGCTTCACTCCAACTTGTATGCATCCTTTCTTGCGGATGGTCTTATAGCGTGTTCATCTTCATGTAGGGATTATCACTTGGTCAGATAGAACCAACACTTGTAAGCAGTTGGGAAAGCAGCACCCATCTGGGCGAGCAGCAGTGGTCCTGGGCGAGATGAAGGTTTGACGAGTTTTTCTTTCCATGTATGCTTATGAGGAACGTTCTTTTGTTTTGTTGTGTCTACCTTTGTGTCAGGGTAATACCAGGCTCAACGAATGAGTGGGGCAGTGTTTCTTCTTCTGTTTTCTAGAAGAAATGGTGTCAGATTGTTAGCCTTTCTTCCCTAAACATTAGATAGAATTTGCCGGTAAACCTGTTCAGACCTAATTTTTGTCTTTGAAGAATTTTAAGTGATTAGCTGATTGTGTCTTTAGTTCATAGAATTCTGATGCTCTTTGTTTTTGAGTCAGTTTTGATATCTGTGTGTTTTATAGAATTTGTCCATTTGCTTGTATTGATGTAAAATTGTCTGTGCCGCCCTTTCAATTTCTGCAGGGTCTGTTGTGATCCATCCTTGCTTGTTCCTTCTGATGGTTATTTGTCTTTTTATCTTTTTATCAGTTAAAAGAATATCAATTTTGTTGATATCCAAAAACCAGCTGAATTTCGGTGGGTTTTTGTTTTCTTTCTATTTTTTCATTTACCTCAGCTCTGTTGTTCCTTGTGGTCTTTATAACTTCCCCCTTCTAGTTCTAATAGGTTTTTTGAGTGGATAAAAACTCAAATTATCAATTTTAGACCTTGTTTTTAACTACTTTTACTTTTTACTGCTTCACTTTTGATATATTGTAGTTTGGGGTTTTTTATTTGGCTTAAGCCAAGTATTTTCTTTTCATTGCCTGGCTTGGCTTTCACTCCGCTAACCTGATGGCCGGCTGGGGATCCTGAAGAGATTGTGCCCAGGTCCCTGGACCCCACGTAGCCACCTGTGGTCATTGACCTGTTCGTGGGTAAGCCGAAGCTCCAGCCCCACCAGCTCCCCAGGCACCACGTGAGGAGGTCTCACGGGCCTTGTGTGGCTCTTTTGCTTCTGTAGTTTTTCCAGTAGGTTTCTCAGCATTTCTGACAAATCTGCTTGTCCCAAACAGGCCAATGGCCAGAAGCGCACGGACCTCTGGGCCTGCCCGAGACGTTCCCACTGACTCACTGACTTACCCGTTGGACTGGTGTGCTGCACTGCGCTCCGCTGGGGTTCTGGCCCCATCCTGGGCTTCCTGGAGCAGCTGGGTTAGAAGGCTGCAGGCTGCATCGTTCTCAGCTCTGAGCAATAAGTGCTTCTCTTGTGTAACTTCTGTTGATTTCCACGTCTCAAGATGGGTTTGGAGGGGCAGTGGGGTCCAGCTGCTTAGTTGTTTTGAAGACGGACTTGCTGCCCGCTTCGTGTGACCGTAGCCAGACGTCTTGTACTCGCGTGACATTTCCCGTTTCATCTTTCCTTGGCTTCCAGTTCACTTTGATCATTTTTAGCAAAAATCTTGTTTCTACCCATGTTCCTTTAATCCCTATTCCTTCCCTTGTTGTAGAGGAGCCCATGTGTGATAGATTTCCGTTTATGTTAAGAGTAGGACATTGTGTTGATAAAAATCTTAGTCTTTAAATTTAAGCATCCATTTCTATTAAGATCACATGATTTAGTGGGACAGATCTCTCTCTCTCTCTCTCTCTCTCTCTCTCTCTCTCTCTTTTTTTTCCGCCCGGACTTTTCCTTCTGAATCTCCATCTACTCTTCTGGAAAGGTGCCACATGCAGTGCTGGAGGGGACTGTCAGGTACCACGCAGGGAGACTTTTAATGCTGTCTAGCGGTACAAGCGATGTGAAGAACACAGGTTTGAAACACACTTGTTTCACATCGTTAATAAGTGTGAAGGTCAAAAAGCGAGGGAACATTAACACGAAAGGTTCGGTTTCTGATAATCTTGAACTTCACAGGGCGGATGCTCCTCTGTGAGTGCGCCTGCTGTGTGCTTGGTGACGGCAGCTGTAAGCAGTGGCTGGGGACAAGTGTAGGGAAGTCTCTTTCCGGCCTCTCATGCATCGATGAGAATGGAGAGTGTGATGCTGTGGCTCACAGTTAAGGAGGTAAACACTAGTTATGCAGATTATATATCTCTTACATGGGTGCAGAGAGGAAAGGAGACCTTAAAGAGTTTGACATTTGAAAACCAGGGGCTGGTGTCGTGGCATAGTGTGTAAAGCTGCCACTTGAAGCGCAGCCACGAACTATCTCTGTCTCCCTCTTGATAACTCTTTCATAGTACACAAGTCTTTTAAAATATGTGTATGTGTCTCAAAAATATTGTTCAGACCTAACCGTTATCCAGGGCGAAATGTTCTTTCTGGCTCTCAGTGAGACCACAAATTCAGCTTCACACTTGTTTGGACTAACTTTGCGTCTTGGTGACTCTAAGGTGGACTCGCTGATGGGGCAGGGAGCTGTGGATGCAGGGCAGAGCAGACACTGAATTGTATGCCCTCTTGTTGCTTTCAGCAGGGAGGAGAAAGCGATGGCTTTTTTCACCCCGAGGGTCAATCCCAGCGGCTTCCTCAGCCTCCGGAAGTGCGGCAGCTGCCCATCCGCAAGGTGACGCTGACCATTGGCGGCCTTCAGCAGCCCCAGCACCCCCCGGTCGGGCCTCACATGCACTCAGCCGTGCCTCCCGGGATCAAAAGCATCCAAGGAATTCACCCAGCAAAGAAGGTACTGCTTGGTTCTGCCCCACCTCCACCCATTTCGAGGCTTTTTGCCATCCAGAGGTACTCAAATTAATAAAGAAGTCTTCATATTTCGTTTCTTTAGCTTTGAAAAGATGGTGACATTTTCACCGTGCTCCTCGTAAGAGCTCCCTAAAACACCCTGAGTTATGGTACAGTTGTTTGCAGGGCACTCGGCAGCCTCTATTCTGTGGGGTACAGATAGCACACGGGCGTGCAGCCTCCGCAGAAGCGTGGTTTTCTTCCAACGCTGAGTCTCAGGAGATCCCCCCAAGCACAGAGGGAGTTCGCGGACCCGATCAGAAGCCTAGGGCTTGGAGGCGAAGGTGCTCGCCTGAGTAGTGACAAGTGCCCTTGCTTCAAACTCTGCTGGGCCTGCCTGTTGGTCAGTCTGTCAGGCAGGAGGCCTGGGCACCCACCATACGCTTTCCTTTGGGATGGGAGTGCCAAAGGATGTGCTGGGATTCCAATGTTGGGTATTGTTTCAGCCTCGACAGGAGTTAGGGGGATGGCCAACTTTGAAGGTACAAGGCTGGCCCCAGTTGTCCATGGTGCCAAAAGGAAGTGAGGGAAGGGGACCAGTAGCACCTGCTGTGGGTTTTTTCCAGAAGGACTAGAAGCCTGCCAGTGCTTCCTGCCCATGTTGCCACTAATTGTTAATGTGAAGATCATTCTGGGCTTCTTGGAAGGATTTAAATTAGTCAGGTCTCTGTATCCATGAGTTCCACACCCATGGACCCAGCCAACTAGATTGAAATATTATACAATAAAAGAAAAAAGATTTGTATTGAATACATGCCAACTTCTTGTCATTTTCCCTAAACAATACAGTGGAACGACTATTTACATAACATTTACATTGTCTTAAGTATTATAAGTAACCTACAAGGGATTGAAAGTATATGGGAGGATGTATGTAGTTGAAATGCAAACACAAAATTCTCCATCTTACATAAGGAACTTGGGTATCCTTCAGTTTTGGTCTTGGGATACTGAGGGCCAATTATATTTCCTGTATTATGAGCATTTTCTGATGCTGGAACAAAGGATTCCATCTTGTAGCAGAGTAGATGTGCAGGCACATCGAGTGATGGTTCTATTGATGGAGTAATTGTCCCTTCAAACAAACAAACAAAAGATGTATGTATTTGAAAGGCAGAGTGACAGAGATCTGCTGTCCACAGGTTCACTTCCCAACAAGACTGGGATGGCTGGGACTGGGCCAGGCTGACACCAGGGGCCAAAACTGCACCTGGGTCTCCCACATGAGTAACACTTTGGCCATCCTCTGTCTTTCCAGGGAGTTCTGATAGAAAGAGAGACTCAGGGCTTGAACAGACTCTTGGATCCTGAACATACTGTGTCACACCCCAGGCCCAAGTACCAGAGTCTTCAAGGGCTGTTCCAGTCTAAGTGCTCTTCGTTTAGATGGTACCCTTTGATATGTGGTGAGAAAGACTATAGGAGAACAACACTCTGCTCTTACCACCACCTAAGGTGTTTTTTGTTTTTTCCTGCGATGGATGGAGAAACTTTGTAAAAATGTATTTATTTGAAAGGCTGAGTTTCAAAGGAGGTGGCGGAGACTTCTGAGAGAGGGACCCCCCCATCCACGGATTTTCTCCCCAAATGGCTGCAGCAAGCCACAACTGGGCTGGTCCAAATCGGGAGCCAGCAGGTTTTTTCATGTCTCCCATGTGGTTGCAAAGGCCCAGATGCTCGGGCCATCCTCTCTTGTTTCCCCAGGTACATTAGCTGGGCTCTGGTTCAGAAGTGGAGTAGCCCGCACTTGTGCCAGTGCCCCATGTGGGAACCTGGCACACTACACCAGTCCACGGAGTTCACTTTTATCCCTTCTTACCAGTTCTAGTGCAGAATTAGATGGGAGATCTGAAAAACCTCATACAGTCCAATTCCACTTGCTTTTGCAGTTCTGCGTTTCACGGGGAGAAGTTAGGTACAAATTCTGTAATTTCCTAAGTAGGAAAAAATACTGAAAATACTAACTTTGCATTTTTTTAGTATTGTTATTTTATGATACAATTCCCTTCCATTCTGCCTAAGTCCGCTGCCCACTGAGTTCTTCTGTATTATCACTCTAGTAAGTTCTTCATACACAGTCATGTCCATCATTGTGGGCATAGAGAACGGCAGAGAGCCCAGCATCCTATTGTCAAGATATAGTAAACAGTTTCACTGAGAGTCCATCTTTGTCTGGAAGTAGAGAGGCATACTGCATTGTATCCTCACATCCGAATATTACAGTCTCCATTACACAGTTACTATATATCCCCTTAAATGAAAAGCCACAATACAAAATCAACAACAGGAAGAAAAATAGAAATTTACAATGCCAAATAGTTAAATAACATGCTACTGGATATGATAGTCTCTGTTACACAGTTACTGTACATCCCCTTAAATGAAAAGCCACAAAACAAAATCAACAAGAGAAAGAAAAACATAAATTAAAAATGCCATGAGGTTAAATAACATGCTACTTGATGGCTAATGTGTCACTGAAGAAATGAAAAAGAAAATCAAGAACCTTCTTGAAGAAAATTATGCTACTGTATGATCCATAGATCATACATAGGTCAGTGAAGAATTTAAAGAGAAAGAAGAGATGAAATTTAAAAAGTTTTAAAAATCAAAATCCATGAGATTGTTTTTTAAAATCCAATCTGCTTATCTATGATAGTTGATTGATGAGTTTAATCCATTTACATTCAGGGTTAATAGAATGTAAATTCTAGATTCTAAAATTGGTACGTCTGGGCAACGTTGAGCTGGTGAAATAATGATTGGGAATGGAAGGAGGCTCAGTTGTTCTGAGGGTTTTTTGTTTGTTGAAGCACTGTACAGGTGCGCATGACTTACAGCCAAGGGTAACTAGGACCCTTGTGGCAGAGTCTACATTTGCGGCTTAGGGGATGGCAAATAGAAATGTTTACAAGATGACTTGGCTGCCTACTGCTCAGGCTTGCAATGGCTGTGTGATGGCTCTCGGACTGTGTGCGTAGCGGGTCCCCATTGGTTGGCCCTTCAAATGGTGGGACAGGTGTGGCCTCTGAGAAAGCTTAGGAGTGAATTCAAGACCTGAACTGTATTACACTCTCATCTTCCACAGGATGATGGTAACCGCCTGACCGGGAACTTTGTCATGGTCCGTCTCAACAGATGTGTCTTATGTGATCAGCTCACTTTTGTATCTTAGTAGCAATGGACCAACCCCAAACTGGAACATCAGGTTCTTCTTCGCTTGTTCTTGCCAGGCCCTCATGCATGGAAGAGGCAGAGGATTGGCAGGCCCCATGGGCCGAGGGCGCCTGATGCCAAACAAGCAGAACCTGCGAGTGGTGGAGTGCAAGCCGCAGCCCTGCGTGGTGTCTGTGGAAGGGCTCTCATCGTCCACCACGGATGCCCAGCTGAAGAGCCTGCTCATGTCGGTGGGGCCCATTCAGGTCAGTGACCTGGGCGTGGCGGCATTGCCAGAGGTCTGCCCTACTCCCAGACTGAATCATTCCTTGGTGGAAAACATGGTGCCTACTGTGTTTAACAACGCTTGAGAAGGAAGATGAGCATATCTGGGTATTCCTGATACTAGAACCTTTGCCTCAACATTTATCTTGAAATTTTCACATACTTAGTTGTAAAATTTATGACACTAGTGATTGGACTAAACAGGTTATCTTAGAGCTGCTTCAGCTACTCCCAGGTTCATACATACATACAGATTGTTTGTTCTGCCAAATCACTTGTTTATTTGAAATAATCTTGATTGCTCAAATTTCTTTTTAATTTGGCAGGCAAGGAGATAGAAGTAAAGGGAAATATTGCACCCTGAATGCCCACATTAGCTGGGTCTTGGGCCCACTGAAGGCCGGAGTGTGCAGCTCTGCCCCCCCTCTGCTGTCTGCTGGGCGCACGTTCACAGGCAGCTGGAGGGGTCAGGCACTCGTGCATGCCGGGCACATCTCCGGCAGCAGCCTAAGGTGCTGCACCAGTCTCTGCCTCATCTTGGTAATGATGTTTTAGACTTTTTCAGGTATTATCTTGGCCTTGATTTACCAAAATAGCCTCACATGTTAATAGCCGTGGAACTTGATTTAGACTTTACAGGAGGAGTGCATAATGAAGTGAACAGAGCTCCAGGTCTGTCGCAGCCTGGTCTCGCAGTGAACATCAAATGAGAACTGATTTCATGTTTTAGATGCCATTTCCTGAAGAGGAACAGATGAAAGCCCTTCTCAAACTGTGCCTGTTAGTTAGGTTGTAATCATGGTCTTCTGCAGCACATTCAGTCTCCGTAGAGATGGGAGGTGTAGCTTTTATCCTTCTGTGATGAGGACAAATTAGCCCCAAAACTGTAGTCGTACCAGAGGTATCTTAGTATCTTAGTCATGTGATAAACACTTTGTGTGTTTCCAGGGGCATCAGCCCATGCTCAGGGGAAGTTGTTTTAAAATAGTTTGTTTTAAAATAGTTTGTCCTACAATTTGTAGGACCTGATGGCAGATGATTTTAAACAAATAATGCTGAGAATTCTGACTCAAATAACAGCTTCCCAGTGGTTCTGACTTTCACAGAACCTAGAGGCCTGTCCTGTCTGCTGTGAGCCGTGGGCTCGGCACGGGCTGGAGGGCCCTGGCCTGCCCTTGGGACAGTCTGACCTCAGCCAGTGCTTGGGCCGTCCTGTGGTGCTTGCCCGGGTGCATCAGCGACAGCTGAGCGGGAAGTGAGGCAGGCAGGGCTGGGCGAAGCCCTCAGACCGATTGTCATGTGGAAGGAGGCGGCGCGGGCTGGAATAGGTGGTTTTTTTTTTTTTTCTTCTACTTGTCTCCTTTTTCAATTCTGAAAAGAACTAGCAGTCACTGTGTTAGAACCCAGCAGAAGCAATGCTAGAATTGATAAATGGCTTGTTTTAGAGAGAAAAAAAAGGATTATAAGCAAGAATGAAGGTTGTCTAGGTTAAGTCGGTCACCCTTGAGATGGCGTAGAGGAGCACTCCAACATGCCTCCTCCAAGTGTGTAAATCCTGATGAGGAATGGGGCACTTGTGCAAGGGCGTTCTTCCACACTCACACTCTGTAGGGTTAGGCCCTTGGATTAGATGGTTCTGAATGAGAGTTTATAGATTCTATATTTCTTAACTGTAGAAGATGGTGATAAAGCAAGCTGTCATCAGTATTAGATGGCTAAAGAAATAGTACTGATGTGCATGTTTTATAACAATAGTAAGTATGAATTTCTTAATAAGATTGCATGGTGGTGTGAATGTGCAAGAAGGGTTTGCACTGAGTGAGCCTGGGCTTCAGTCACCTCAAAGCTCAGGGACTTAGGGCGGGGCGCCACCTAGTGTTCAGTGTGCAACAGCAAGTGTTAACCAAGCAGGGACCAGTATTTCTTTGGATCTTTTAGTTACAGAAAATTCTAGTAACTGCATGTTAATTATACTTTTTAACCCTTGGATTTTGAGGAAGTATCGCTCATGGGAGTTACTTTTAAGACCATCTTAGAATAGACGGGCTAGATTAGCCAGCAGGTTTGTTTCCGTGATCCAGGTGTCCTTCCGCACTCGGCTGTGTTACTGAGTTAGCAGTGCTTTCATGAGGAGACTCAAGCTTCCTTCTTTTCTTCCTGCAGAGTTTACAGATGCTTCCCCAGCAGCGGAAAGCCATAGCGAAGTTCAAGGAACCAGCCCACGCACTGGCATTTCAGCAGAAGTTCCACAGGTACGGTCCGGTGGCGTGGGAGCAGAGGACAGGCCTCGGTAGCACTGCCTGTTATGCCGGGGCCGCCGCTGCTATGGGCACAGACCAGCCCGCCCATCAGCGCGTCAGGCCCTTCTCTGTGGGGCTTGCCCTTTGATTCCGTAGCTCTCGTCTGAAGGCTGCAGTCAGCATTTGTGTAGCAGCTCTGGATTGTCCAGGCCCGCTCTTCTACTTGATTTTTCTTCCGTCCTGGGGAGCGATTACTCGGCTGCCGAGTTGACCTTGATTGTGTCTTTGATTTCCACAGGCATATGATAGATTTGTCCCACATAAACGTGGCCCTGATTGTGGAGTGAGTGCTCGCGGCAGAGCCTGACCCTTCGCTGCACACGCACTGTGGAGTTGCTTCCAGGAAGCTGCCGGCCGGCGCAGTCCTCGGGAGCTTGCCTCCGGGAGCTTGCCTTGCGTTACTGTTGTCTGCAGCGGCAGCCAGCCGTAGGGTTGGTTCCGGGAAGAGCTGTACTTAACGGACCTAGCAAGCTGGAATTGGGTGTTCATTTGCTTCAGGTTCTGTTGTCAACACGGAGAACTCCAGTGTTTTGTTTTGTTTTCCAAGTGCTCACAGTGCATGTAGACATTTGTTCTTCATGATCTTACTGTATGATTGATCAGTGACAGATTGAGGCAAGAACACCAACGTCACAAATCCTTAAGTATTTTTCACAGCAAAGAATATTTGATAATGGTTGCACTTATCTTCAGTACAGGCTAGAAAAAGACTTTTCTTACAAACTTGACTTGTTTATTCAGCCCTCAAAAGGCTCTCATTAAAAAAAAAAAAAGAATAAGGAAAGAAAAGCAAAACTTAGTTTAAAATTTGGGTGGTGATTCATTGACGTTCCGTATCCTGGGGAGCCAGGGTATGAGCGGGGTGGTTGGGAGTGGAGCTGTTTCAAGTGGCAGATTCTGCTTCTTGTACATATCCCAAAAGCTTAAGCTGTCTGATCCTCCTTCTGAGAACCAGCCACTCCTTCCCAAACCAGGTGAAAAGGCGGACTCGTTCCATCAGGCTCCCTCAGCCCAGAGGAGGGCAGCCCCCTTCTGCAGCCCTCCGATCTAGTTTCTCTTTTAAACGCAGCTCAAGGTGGCATGTTTGTGCCACTGGCTCTGTGACATGTGCCATTCCTTGGGAAACTGAACATCATTGCTTTGATTCGCTGGTTGCTGTTTTGTTTTGTTTTTAAAGCAGATTTCCCAGCAGGGGCTGCATGGTCCTCCCTGGGACCTGAGAGGAGTGCTCTTCATTCTGGCAAGCCAGTCTCGGTGGCATGTGTGCTGTGAGGGTAGTTGTCTCAGAGGGACAACAGAGCTCCAAATAAGTGTATCATCTTTGGAACTAGGGAGGTTCCACTGGTTGAAACTCAGCTCTCTGCGGAGCATCATTTAGTATAATCCATCGTGGGCAAACACTGAAAAAGTGCCTTACTGTATTTCTGCTCATGCAAGAATTTCAGTGTTTTAGATTTGCTCTAAAGTATACCAGAGTGAATTACACTAGGGCAGACTCACACTTTTTTGGTCCTATTTTACAGCTGTGATTTCATGGCTGATTTCTTAACAGAATTAAGCCAGTGAGGACCAGAGTGGACCCCGCAGGTGAGGCTGGAGCAGGTGTGTCCCTTAGGCCTGCCAGCCTTCTGGCGGGGCTCAGGAGACCAGGGCACAGGATTCTGGAGCTGCTGCCATCCGCAGGTGGAATTTTATATTTATTCAGATTAGGTTACTGAAGCAAAGACTCAGAACTAGGGAACAGTGTTCCATACTCTAAAAGACTTGCTGTAGCATTGATTCTAAAATATCAGTGCACACCCTAAAGAACGCTACCAAAACGTAGGTGGTTGTTGATGGGAAGATTTGGGTTCCAGGAAAGTTTGGGCCATTGTAGGCTGTCTCAGAAAACTCAGCGGGGTAGCTAACCCCCTCTGTTCTGAAAAACCCCTGCCTAGCCCTAGCAGGTGGCCCTGTGAGCAGCCTCGCCTCCCCATGCCTGCGGTAAGATCCTTGGGTCAGTTTGTGTCTCTGCCAGGTGGCATGGCTGCATTTACCCATGTCAGGGTATTCATAAGTAGAAACATATGTGTTACACATTTAAGAGAGTAGTTCGTATGGCTTAGTGCTTAGAGAGCTGCATTAAAATGATAGGCTGCTGGCCCAACAGCTCTAAGGAAGGGACATCCAAACCACTAGTACCACCGGGCTGTGGGAGGCTTACTGACTTGGCGTATCATTGAGGACAGGAAAATGGGCTTGGCAGTCTTTCACTGCTTTCTAAAATAAACTGAACATGCTTTTGTCTTAAAACCAAAATTTGTCCTGCTGTCTCTGAAAAGGAGGCACTGAAATGTACTTTTTTCTAGTTAGTGTCACAACTCATCTTGACCGTGCACCGTCATTCAAGAGAGACTGGCGTCTCCGTTAGGCTCTGCCGTCGATGCTGCGCAGGTGGAAGGCGCTTGTCCAGATGACGTGTGTCCGTAGTTGTCTGCACACGAGTGCGCAGGCAGGGTTTTCAGAGTGCTCCAGAAAGACCACCACCACGTCTTCAGGACCTCTCTGAAGCTCTGCTTAGAATAGCGAAGCCTAGCTCTGGCTTTCCCTGATCGTCACAGCCGTTGGAAGTGGTCTCACAATGCCAGACAATCTAGGAATAAAGGTCTAGTTTCTATGAAGGAAACGGCAAAAAAAGGAAAGAAGCAGAATTAGAAAGTAATATTCTTTTCATTTTTGGTATACTTCTCCCAGTGAAGTCAGACCACGTCAGCTGACCCCTCGTGGAAGATCTGCTGCAACCATTATCTTTGTTCTTTCTTTATCATGCATTCAAAATGAGATGCACACGCGTTCAGCATACTGTGTACATACGGACCTTTTAAAATTAAACTGTTCTTGGAAATGCTTTCAACTCTGCAACATCTTAGCTGTTTGTTAGTTCTTTTGTGTTGTCTTATCAAAGTTTAATGGACAAAATTCCATGACTGTTGATGTGTTTGTGTGCATATTCGATTTTTATAAAGATGGTAGTAAGTCAATACATTTACCCTGATCTGTGTATTATTTGTTCACAAGTTCAAGAAACTTAAGGGCAGGAAGTACCATTATATCTCTCGTAAGGTCAATCAGTAGGTGGTTATGTGGAACCAAGCTGCTTTTCTCTTTCTTTTTGCGTTGTTTTGATTTTGTACTGTACTGTAAGTTCATTTAGCTATCCATCTGAACAGTTAACCTCGCATACCATTGGTCTGGCCACATTTGTTAAACCTTTACCCTGATTCTCTTCAAAAGGGGGGGGGCGGGACTTGTCTCTTTTTTCTAAAAGAATGCTGGGGAGTTTTCTCCCCTTTTTGGACAGGCAGTTTTGTGCCTTAGGCGCCTGTGCCCCTGCGCTGTGGAGGAGAATGGATGGGATGGGAGTGGGTAGTTCCTAACGTAATTTGTAAAGGTCCTGGACAAACAATTGTATGAGCTCGGTTCTGTAGCATTTTGGAATTGTGACAGCTTAGATTCTGCACCCAGGGATCTGCTTTCAAAAGAAATGTTTTGCCAAGTTCTACAAACAGAAGGCTTTGGTCCTGAAAGAGGCTGGAGAGCTGGAGTGAAGGGGAGGGAGGACTGGACGGCCGCAGGGAAGAGGAGTCTTGCAGACTGGGAGAAGTTGTCCCATAAGTGTTAATGGTAAACTGCCTTCTGACACCAACTGGCAAGGTGAGGTCACCCAGTCAAGCTGAGAGCTTGTGGGCAGGCATTCCAGGCTGCGGCCGGTGGCTGCTGTGCTGGGCATGCTTGCCGCGGGCTACTGCCGCCCCCCGGGCCGCGCTTGGCTCCTGTCACAGGACAAGGGCTGGGTGGGAGAGATGAAGATGGTGGGGTAGGAACCTGCCCTTTTCTTTTGGATTTTGGATTTTCTTTTTTGTTTTATTGTGTTGAATTTGTTTTTTATTTCCTTGCTGTTGTAATGGGAAGGTAAGCTCAGTACGCTGTAGAGCACTGGAGGGACCCTGGGTGAAGGCAGATTTTAGTTGCCTAGTGGCACAGAAGCGAGGGGCTCCGTGTTGGCTGCAGGGTCATTCTTAGACATTTGCAGGGTCCTAGAAACTGTTGCGCTCTGCATCCTTGGAGAGACACAGTGCCAGTCTGGCCCGAGGCGCCTTCCTAGTGCCCATCGGGCCTGGCCCCTGCTGCTTCCCGGACGCCCCTCCCAGGAGTCAGGTTTGAGTTTTCTGCTGTCCCACCCCGAAGGGCTGAGTTCTGGCTTCACTGCTCCCATTGAGATGCACCTGGCCCTTGTCTCATGACACTAAAGGCCACCTAGCTCTTTCTGTGGAGCGGGGAGACAGGGTGGGAGACGAAAAGCTGGAAAGCTATTGCTGTTTCTTCAACACATTGTAACATAATTAGAAGGGCTTGAGGGCTGCAGGATAGGAAGGGACCAAGATTGCACTCCTCACCCAGGAAAGCCACAGCAGCTTAGATCATTCAGAGGGAAGTGTAGATACTTCATTGTATTAAATGGCTGTGTCCATCGACTTTTTAAACTATGAAGTGTTACTTTAAAAATATTTTTAAAATATGAACTCTCCAAAGGCATTTAGCCTTGATCTAGCATTAAATCCTAAGGATTTTCTGTAAGGTTTTTCTGCGACCTACTTAATTTTTATTGTTTTGGGTGCCTGGTTCATTAGGTGCATCAGGTCATGGTTTTATGTACTAGAACCAAAGCAAAACCCCCTGATTCATATTGGATCCCCAGGTATACCGTCTGGTAGCAGCATGGGTGGAAAGGAGCATGCGTTGACACGTTTCTAACCAGCCTTTTCTAGAGCATGCTCTGAATATCTTAACTCTTGCTTTTTTGTGTCGTAGTTTGGTTGGTAGGGAGTCGTTCCGTTAAGATGAGCAGGTAGAACAGATCTTTTTAGTAATAAGGTTTTTTTTTTTTAATGGCTTCTTTTACTTATGACCAACTAAGATAAAAAGAGGTCCTCATATTGATGATTTGTTTGGTTTCGTTTCACTAAATTTACAAGTTGTATAGGAAAAAAATGCAGGTCTTTTTGAAAGAAATGTGTAGGTTGTTTTTTGTTTTAATTTATAATATATTCCACAGTGTGGACTGGCACACAGGTATGCTTTTTATGTGTTCTCTAGTAATGTAATACACTCTACAGGAAAGAAAAAAGGCCTTGGCATTCTTGCAGTGTGCTTTTCCTTTCAACTGCCTTTTATTTTAAGGACACAACTAGGTGGAATCCGAGTCTTAAAAATGACTTGACGTTTTTGTGCTCTGCAGTGTTTAGAATAGCTAGCCTTTTAAGATAGCAGGTGCCACACACATTTAGCCTGTCAGCCGAGCAGATAATCACATGTTTTTATAATTGAGTTTTGCTTTTCACAGGCATAGGATCCTGGATGGATTCCTCTGTGAGGATTTGAACACGTAGGCTTTTAATCCCACTGTTTTAATTTTCAGGTACAACAACGAGAAAGCACAGAGTCTGTTTTTCTGGGTTTTTTTTTTTGTTTGTTTGTTTGTTTGTTTTGTTTTCATCTTCGCACTGGTTCTCTGTTGGACGTTTCTGTTCTGTTCTTGCCACTGTTGTTCTGCTGATGAGACCACATCACTGAGCCCTGCTCCAGGCCCTCCCTGTCTTGTCTTTTCCATTTGGTTTTCTTGGCTAACCTCGCCCACCATCTTCACGTTCATCACCCCTCTCCCACCTGGCATTCTTTTTTTGCTGTTGAGTTGTCCATCTCCTATGCTTCCCACCCTCTCCCTCCGCACCTGCTCCTGGGCCGCAGCCCTGCTCCTCTTTAGCGCTGAAAATGTAGGATTGTGCTCTGGGTGGGAGGGACAGGTCTGGGGTGGTTTTTTTTGCACTGTTGTTCACAACCTGATTCCCTCTAAACCTTTGCTTTGACAGGTCTCTGCTTGACGATTTAGTCCTCCAGGTCTTTGATTGGAGAGAATAACGTTTGATTCTGTTATTTTGCAGTTGATGCTCTGTAGGAGTGTGCGGCGACCCCCCGATGCCAGCATCCCGCAGCATGCGGTTGGCCATGTCATTAACCACCCACTTCTTTGGTTTTTGTTTTTTTTTTGTCTCCTCTACTTTGCAGGACTTGGGCATGGGTCAGTGTAGTAGTAGCAGCGTGCCTTCTCATTCCGCTCGGAAGTGATGGCCGCATGAGCATTGTCACTGCCCTTGCTGACTGACCCTTCCTAAGCACAGTGTGTGTGCGCCTCACGAGCTGAGGCGGAAGGTGAAGCTGTGTGTGTTGGGAGTGCGTTAACATTTGGGAACCAGCGGTTGGCTGACTCAACTTCCCTCTGGGTTCCATCTCATCCTCGTTCTCCACCAAAACACACTGCACTGACTCTGGTCTGGTGCGTTAACCGCTGTGGGAACTTTGTCAAGCATATTTGTGAAGAGTACTAGTGCCATAGTGGAAAAGAAACAAATGTATTGTTGTGTGTATCATTTGTGTGACTTTTATACTGTTGGACCTGTATTGTAATCTGAAAGGTGTGTCAATAAAGCTGGCTGTTTCCACTCGACCTCTGCGGCTCTCATTGCTTCTCTCCCCGGCATCCACGCACACAGTGCGATGCCCACACACACACACACACACACACACACACACACACAGGTGACACCTGCCGTCCTCTAGTAGGTGACCAAGGGTGCTTTCTCCTGAGGCGGGGATGGTGCTGGACTGAGGCTGTCCCGGGAGACAGCCCCTGGCTTTGACACAGGTGGCCGGCAGCAAGGGGGTGCTGTGTTCTGTTAGAAGCCTCCTACACAGTTTTCATAAGAAATTCATTGTCTAACACTACAATGGAAAGATCAGAGATGGAGACTCGGCCTTGCACATGGCCACCGACCTGCTGTCCTGGCTTTCGGCTTTTGTCACGTGCAGGACCTATTTGGAATCGTGTTTCCACTTACTGCGTCGTAAGTGCTTTCACATGACTACAGATATGCTCATAGTTGATGATCAATTTGAAGGTTATTTTAAAAATCAAGGCCACTCTGCTTTCAGGATAAGAGAACCTGTGTGCCACAGCAGGCCAGGCCTCTCTCCTCTGGCCTAGGGACTCGCATTGTAGGCTACTGTGGGTGGGAGTTGCTGGCCCCACCATCCTGTTCTCCTCTGCTGCCCATGGAAGGACCACAGTTTTGTTCTTGGTCCTTGAGCCTCATGGAGATGAAGTCCATGTGATTGAGACCTTCACTATGCCCAAAGCAGCCGCTGGCAGATACGACACATCCTTTCTGGGCTTCCCCAGTGCCCATCCTGGCAGAGTTCGCAACAGAAGGGAGCAGAGAGCCCTGCTCTTACCCTTTAGGAATGTGGCATCTGAGCGTCATCGCGTAGCATTGGCTGCCATTCATGGGGGCTGCAGGTAGACTGGGCAGGGTGCTGGGTCCATTGTGCATATCACACTGTGACACGGCGGTTAGGGTGACACAGTGGGATGGGGGAGGGCGGCAGCCTGCCTGGAGGAGACATTGCAGTATATGCCCATGGGAGTCTGTGTGCTCCACGCCAAAAGCCACCCACTGTCTCACAAAGTTGTACTGACTTTAAAAGGCAGCCTACCAGAGAGAGGGTCCTTTGAGAAGTTCATGGAATATGAGCTTCAAAAAAAAAAAATGTTGAAAGTCACTCAGGTAGGGAAAGACCTGTTTTCTTTGCTGACTCACTTCCTGATGAGCTGCAGCAGCTGGAACTGGGCCAGGCTGAGGTAGGAGCTTTGTTCTCATCCCCCATGGGGGAGGCCAGGGCCTGATCTCGTGAGCCACCTCACACTGATTTTCCCAGGCCGTCCCTGGTGCTGTATTGGAAGTGGAATGGCAAGAGTGTGGAGTGGGCCCTTGTGGGATACTAGCATTGCAAAAGAGATTGAAATGCATGCGTAGCTTTGTTACACTAGCATTTTCCCAGTTTCTATCCTTGCTGTGGATTGCAAGAAAAAAAGAAGAGGCTGAGGCCCGGCGCGATAGTGTAGCAGTTAAGGTCCTCGCCTTGAGCGCGCTGGGTTCCCATATGGGCGCCGGTTCTAATCCCCGCAGCCCCGCTTCCCGTCCAGCTCCCTGCTTGTGGCCCGGGAAAGCAGTTGAGGATGGCCCAGAGCTTTGGGGCCCTGCACCCACGTGGGAGACCCGGAAGAGGCTCCTGGCTCCTGGCTCCTGGCTTTGGATTGTCTCAGCTCCAGTTGTGGCTGCTTGGGGAGTAAATCATCAGACAGATCTTCCTCTCTGTCTCTCCTCCTCTCTGTATATCTGCCTTTCCAATAAAAATAAATCTTAAAAAAAAAAAGAAGAGGCTGATTTGGGTGGAAAAGTGAAGTAAAGGAGAAGCAATGGAAAGTGGAAGTTCATTTCTGGTTTCATGGAATTTAAGTCCTAATCATTAGAACCTGAAATATCCCTGTTTCAACTCTGTTACAGAGAACAGCCGTTCTTTAAATATGGGCCTTTATTCTGGTCATTGGGCTCTGTGACCCCTGGAGTTTCCAAGTAGAAACTTGTTTGAATCTGGAGGACAGTTGGCAATATTACGAGGCATTGTGTTCACTTTTTTAAGTCAAACCAGTGGATCCAATGGGATGGCTCGGTGGCTAAAAGACTTTCCTGGCAAGCACCAGGTCCCTTGTGGGTGCTGGCTTGTGTCCCAGCAGCTCTGCTTCCCACCCAACTCCTTGCTTGTGACCTGGGAAAGCAGGGTGGCACCCATGTGGGAGACCTGGAAGAAGCTCCTGGCTCCTGGCCTTGGATTGGCTCAGTTCAGGCCATTGTGACAACCATTCCAGTGATGCCACCACCTTAGGTTTTAGAACCAGACACTGATGAGATGCCTGCAGAGGTAACCAGGTAATGGGTGAGTCCCTGTGACCGTGCTTTCCAATGCCCTGCAGAAGCCAGACGCAATGGGACAGACCTCTGAGTTGAAGTCACATCTCAAGTTGAGAAATAGAGGTAGAATGGAACCCACGTATTTGACGAGCCTTCACCCAGCCTTGGAGGTGAACCCGGGAGCTGGCGCTATGGCAGAGCACATCAGCCTGTCCGCTATAGTTTGGAGATGTGTCAACAAAGTGTCCCTTCTGCAGGGTAAGCGCCTTGACAGCATCCGCCGGCCACCTCGTGGCTTGCGCCGGAAAGTCGCACGCGCTGTCCCACACTCAGTGGCTGCCAATAATGTGAAGTGTTAGGAAGATGCAGAAGCGGCTCATAGTGAACTGCCTGTTCTGAGAAGGTCCCCCTCTTCTGGGGCTGTGACCGAGGACTCCCAGGAGAGCAGTGCCACTACCTGGCTCTCCTGACATGCTTCCTTTGCCGTGTAACGGGTTTCAGGATGAGCCTCTTGTTCCCCTTGCTTCGCCAAGTGTGGCTTGGATCCAGAGAGTGTCTGGCTCACTGTTCCCCACGGGGAGCTCCGAGGCGGTCAGATCCTAGAGAGATCAGAGCGCGGAGGGTTCCTGCCTCGGGGGGCTGTCAGCATCAAGCCCCTTTGGCTCTGCCTTGTCCGCGGGGAGCTGCTCTTCCTGGGAAAGACCGCTTTTCCGGAGGCCGAGTCCCCAAACTGCCCGCCAGAGGGCGCTGGGAGACAGGCGGCCCGGTGCGTTCTCAGGCGGGCGGCGAGGGTTCACGCGCCGCCATCCCCGGGATGTTCTGGAATGCCTGCCGCCCCTGAGGGAAGGGGCGGATGCGGCGGGAGGTCAAGTTGGGGGGGGGGGAGGACAGGAGGAGGAACTTTGCCCATTGGCGTCCCTCGCCACCTCTCCCCGGCCGCGCTGGTTCGGTGCCCGGCTGCCCTGCGCAAGGTGGGAGCGCCTGGGAGAAGCCACCCCCGGGTCCCCTCCGCGGCTCCCGTCCTTCACACTCACGGGCCCGGCGCAAGTACTGTGAGCTCAGCTGCCTTGGCCTTTTGAGAGTCTTGGTGCGTGCACATCTCTCTAGCTGGAAGAACACGCACGCCCTGGGCTCGGGATCTAGGGTTCGCCTTGCAGCCGCGTCCTGCCAGGCGACCCGGGTGTCTCTTGGTCTCGGGGTGTCCAGGGTCTTGGCACCCAGAAGGGTGATTTTGAGTTAGTTGCCTCCTAGCTCTGTGAATTCTTTAAAAAAAAAAAAAGAAAGAAAGAAAAAGTGCCCCTAGGTTCATCTGGGAAAATGCAAGTCATCACTGAAGTGGCCTTAAGCTCGCCGCTGGAGTCCCTGTCTTTCTGCACTTTCCCGGGTGCGCTTGGCTTCAGCCTCCTTCCCCGCCGCGGTGATGCGGCGTCAGCTGGCCACCTGTCCTCCGGCTGGACCACGAGAGGGCGCCAGGACTCCACGCAGAGCAGACCTGGGGAAGGACTGGAGAAGCGGAGGCAGGGGGGCCCAAAACTGGCCTGCATCTTTCTTGGGAACCGCTGGGCGGGCTGCCTGGTCCAAGGAGAGGCAGAGGTCGCTGGTAGGGCTGCCTGCGGGATGTGGAAATCCTAGAAGCAGCCTCCTGATCCGTGCAATGTACAACGGTATCTTCAAGACTGAAATGCTTATTTTTAGGGAGACACCCCGCCCCCAGCGGTGAATGGGCTCTAGTGAGTTACATGCTGGTGGGTGTGGAAGTGACACACTTGGCAGCGCAGCCCTGGAGTTGGATTGGGCATCTCTAGGAATCAGGGTGGGGACGAGACCCAGGCTTACCATCCCCTCAGGGCCTCTGGCAGGAGGAGACACGTGCCTTCCCACACAGATGCAAGAAATCAGAAGGGAAGCAGTACAACATGGGGTCGACAGGAGCCGTTCAGCGTGGCTCGGTGTCCTGTGGAGGTCTCACTGCCCTTGTGGCGGTTGCCAAGCTCCTGCAGCCACTTTTCTGGAGTTGCTTGCTGAGTTCTGGCTGGAGCCTTCAGCTGGGATTCTGGTGACCCTAGGCCAGCAGTGTGGACAAATACAGGGACCTGGGGTCTTCCCAGCTTTCTTCAGAGATGTTTGTTTTGGTGCCTTCAAGCTGCAGTGTTCCAAAAGCGAACTCTTGAGCTGTCCTCGGGAGCCTGGGAAGGGTGTTTTCCTGTGTCAGTTTCCCCTGGAAGCCGACCACAGACCCCGCGTGTAAGAGCGTGTTCTGGTGCTGGGTGAATTTTGGACATAAGAACTCCTAATTGACCCTCAGCCTGAAACGCTGTCAGCCGTCTTACTTCATGTCTCCTCGGAATTACGGACCTGGTGCTTGTTTACATAGTAGGATGTGAATGCCTTTTTCGCAATTTGCAAGAATCGGACTCAGCCAAAACAAGGAAGTTATCTGAAAGTCCAGACTTCCTATTTTGCTTACTATTGAGTGACTTTGGCAGAGTAGGAGAAAACTGGCATATGGCCCCGAGGGTGAGGCTCATCGGCTGTTCTCCTGCACGGAGCTGTTCTTTTTTCAGTTCAGCACTCAAGGTTGCTGTTGGAAATGGCTTCCTGGAATCCTTAACCTCCTGAGGTCTCCCATGGCAATCAGTTAGGGGTACGGGGTGGAATTGAGCAGATGGGCCTAACTGAAATAGCTGTGTGCCTAGTGATGGCTCAGGGGCTAAATCCTTGCCTTTCAAGCCCTGGGATTCCATATTGGTGCCACTTCGTGTCCTGGCTGCTCCACTTCTTCTCCAGCTCCCTGCTTGTGGGCTGGGAGAGCAATAGAAGGTGGCTCAATTCCCGGGACTCCTGCACCTAGCTGGGGGAACCCAGATGAAGCTCCTGGCTCCTAGCTTCAGATTTGCTCAGCTCCGGTCATTGCAGCCATTTGGGGAGTTAGCCAGTGGATGGAAGATCTTTCTTTGTCTCTCTTACTCCTTGTAAAATCTGCCTTTCAAATAAAAAATATTAAAAAAGAAAGAAAGAAAATGGGGCAAGTAGTAAAATACTTCAGGTTTTTTGGCCCATGTGGTCCCTGATGCCCTCATCCAGCTCTGTGGTGGTAGCCGGAAGGTGGCCACAGACAGCTTTTAAGGGAAAGGTGTGGTGTTCCAATAAAGCTTCATCAGTGGCTGCTGAAATTTGAGGTTCATATAATAACCTCACTTTTTAGATTTTTTTTTTTTAAATTGCCAAACATTACAAGGTGTACTAAACCACCTCAGCTCATGAGGAGTAAGAAAAATACAATGGACCAGATGTGTCTGACGGATGCTCTGACACGGGCCCTAGGATGTATTTCTAGCATGGCCCCTGCAAGAAGCCGGGAGTCAGCAGAAGCCCTGCTTTGAGCGTCCTGACTTCCTGCGGTGGGTGGTGTGTGTGTGTGCAAAATCAACCTCTCTGCATGCGGGGAGAACCCCGGAGCCTGGTGGAGAGTCATCGGCCCCCTGCAGGTGCTGGGCCAAATCTCATCAGCCAGCATTTCCTGTGTGGCTGTGACGCTCCCAGCAAAGGGCTTCCCCAGGGCTCTGCTAAGAGCTGAGTCGTGCGCACGGTTACGGTTCTCACTGCCTGGCCCAACCACCCAGAGTCTGGGAGCCTGTCCTCTAGGTGATTTCCGTATCAGCTCATGGAAGAAAATGGGAAGCAGGGATACCAGTGTGGAGCAGTGAAAATGTGTCACATAGCACACATTGCAGAAAGTCTCCGTAATTCCTTTAATGATTGAAACAATAGAGCACAAAGGTAAGTTTCAAGTACATTCTGATACACATTTTCAACAGGGATGGATACGCATTGGGTCATGATGGAGGCAACAGCTACGAGGCATACAGTTTGTGCAAACTCTTGGCCTCATCAGCCCTGAAGAAGAGTGGTGGGCGCTGTGCCTGGGTGGCAGTGGACTATATTTTCTTCATGCCCTGCCTCCCGTCTCTTTGCTGTGGCTCCATTTTTCCCGTTAGGAAAAAGGGAAACTTCGTATCAAGTTGCAGGCGGAATCTTTTGAGGGACCAGAGGGCGTTGCTGCGAGGGATGCCATTACCCAAGCTGTCCAGGAGGGGGAGCTGTTCGCCGCGCCACTTCCAGATGGCCTGGTTGCTGGAACGCTGCCCTGGCTCCCTTAGGGGCATTGTCAGTGCCTGATTTCTCTTTTTAACTAAGGAAGCCGCCTCGCTAATTCCTCAGGCCACTCAACATGGAGGAGCTGATTTACTTCATGTTCCTGCTTTACCTTTAGCCTACTTAGACTTGGAAAGACGCAAGAAAACATCAGTCTCCACCAGGCATTGGAAACAAACTTGCTTTGAACTTGACAGACACCTAATAAGAGCAAAGGCAATTCTACCTCAGGGGAAGAAGGAGAGTGTCCATCCTGCCTGTCGGGCCAGGCCTCATGGGAGCAGGGAGATGACAAGTCCTCTGCTTCTGGGCATGTCGCTTGGGCAGAGATGCTCCTGGGAGAGCCACTTGAGTCTTCCAAAGCTGAGTCCACACACCCTGGTCTTGGCACCCTGGCCCCACTACAAGACAGGTCTGATGGCTACTGCTCCCAGCATTAGAGAAATCCCCAGACGAGCTTCATAGGCCAGGTCAGCGGAAGCACAGAGAGGGCTGACTCCTTCCTGAGGTCAGGCTGCGGAAGTGCCTCAGCCCAAAGCGTGAAGTATGGCTCTTCTTTCAGCCAGCCAAAGAACCGGGAGCACCCCGTTGTGGTGGCCTGCCAGTGGCCGAGGGTAGAGACCCTCCGGATGAAGCCCACGGCGCAGCATGAAGCTCCCTTCCTCCAGATGCAGCTGATGTCACACTCTGGCTACAGAGCATCCTAGGGCTGAAGACCCACGCCTGGCACAGCTTCATCTCTGCAGAAGGACCACTGGGGTGTGGAGCTGCCGGCACCCCGAGGCTGCACCAACCAGTCCGGGACATCAGGCAGATGCTGTGCCCTTGCCATGCGAGTTCGGGAGACTCTCAAGCCAAGAGGACCAGACATCAGCACCTGCCCTGTCCTTCTCTGCCCAGATCAGAGCCAGCCAGCCGGCAGGTGCAGAGGCCTGCATCAGAACCACCCAGCAAGAGCCCTCTTTGGGACTCCCCAGGCCTCCCCATAAGGCTTTGCCAGTGAAGAGGTGAGGCTGGAGCACACGGAGCACCCCTCTACTCACTGGCCGTGTAGGAAGGACGTCACAGAGGAAGTTCAAACAGAGCTGAGGTTTCTCCGGTGACGGGGACACACAAGTGGATTTGTTTACCTACTTTGGTGAGCTACAGAAATCAGTCTAAATTCACAGTATGAACAACACATCCAACTATAGTATTAGGAACTCCTGTCAGCTTTAGATTTCCCAAACAAAGAAGGGGAAAAAAAAAAAATGGAAAGAAAAGGAAAAAGAAACAAAGAAAAAAAAAAGAAAGAAAAACAAAGGAAAAAAAAAGAAAATAAAAAGGGCTGCAACAGGAATTCTTAGTTATCATATACTAATCAGTCTGTGTGTGGCATATTTTATTTCTATAAAACTATTACAAAATATTCAAAAAATACATTTTAGTAAATTTACAGCAGTTATTTCTCAGTTTATTAATGCAAAAAAACATCCTTGTTTTTTTTTTTTCTCTGTACAAACTACAGGCTCCACCCTTGTGGGCTTATCACTATGTGCATGTCTAAAAATATTATTTTCTAATAAATTCTTTGACGTTAAAAATAACAGAGTTCTTCCAGTTTTTTTTTTAAAAAAAAGGTGTGTGTGCATGTGTGTGTGTGTGTGTGTGTGTGTGTAACAGTCTTGGCTTCCAACAATGCGGCCAGAATGGTGATGACAAAGCAAACACTAAACCATGTAGGCAGTACACGAGGCAGCTGTTACATTGGCAACTAGTTAAATTAAAATAATATATTTTTTTTTCATATTTTACACTATTTCGAAAATGAAATGTAATTCAGTTAAGCACTGATCTCTCAAGAAAATCTAATTTACAATTCTGTGTATAAAAATAGACTTTGTGGACCCCCACGGAGCACATCTGAGTTGACACTTGCTGAAAAGCAGGACCATGGCGAGGGAGGAGGAGGAGGAGGAGCAGTGGCGGGCAGAGAAATCTTGCTTTCCGACCGGAGGAGGGACGTGTAGAAAAATAGACTCTGAGCAGGATGCTTGGCCTCACAAAATAATCTTTCCCCCCTGTGAGTACAGTTCACATGATAATAATAAATTATCCAAGAAACAAATGTATTTAAGGCTCTTGAAGGTCCGGTTCATATTATTTAAAACATCTAGTCATACCAAACAAATAAATAGGCAGGAGAAGAGAAAAAAAAAATAAAACAATAATAACCAAAAAACAAAAAATTCAAAAAAATATATAAACTAAACACAACAGGAATCCCGGGGTCTCTGTTTCCTTATAGTCTACTTTGGACTGTCCTACTGTATCATTATTATTATTAATTATTATTATTATAATTCAAAGTCTCATTCCGTGCGCTCGTTCCACGTGTTCTTTCGCTTTATCTTGCCGTTGCTTCGCCCGCCCCTCCCCGCCCGCCCCGCCCATCCCGTCCTCCTGCCTCCCACCTCCCTCCCCGCCCGCGCCCCTGGGCTTCAGCTGGACGTGACCGCCATGCCGAGGGGGTGCAGCGCCTCGCTGTCCAACAGCCAGGTGCCTATTTGGTAGAGCAGCTGCGAGTACCAATGGATGCCCGCCGGGGCCGTGGCGCCCGGGGCGTCGCCCGCACCCGGGGCAGGCACGGGCATGGAGCCGCCGCCCCCGCCGTCGCCATCTCCGGTGCGGTCTGTGCGCGTGGGCGCCAGAGCGGCCAGCAGCGCGTGCGCCAGGCGGAAGGGCGCGAAGGCCCAGTGTGCCCAGCTGTGCTCCTCGATGACAGCGTAGCACGAGGCCAGCACCCGGTTGATGAGGATGGTGCCCTGGGCTGTGAGCGGCGCGTAAGCTCCCGTGGCCTCCTCGTGGAGCGTCACACTGCGCACGGAGGCTGGCAGCAGTCGGCGGTCCCCGTCACGTTCGACCATCACGTACACGCGCTGGCCAGGGCGCACCCGACTGGCGAAGAGCGCCCTGCGTTCTGGCGCGCCCTCCGGCGGCGGACGCCCCGCGCCCGACGGCACCTGGGGCTCCCCCGCCGCGGCCGAGTCGTTGTGCGGCGCGACAAAGAGCAGGTGCGCGGCGGTGAGCAGCAGCCGCTCGCGGGGCTCCAGCGTCTCGATCACGTAAAAGACCTTTTTGGCGCTGTCGTCGCGATCCAGGAAAGTGAGGAAGTCGCTGTACAGCAGCCGGCCCTGGTCGTCAGCCGCCAGCACGCGGTCCCCAGGACTCAGATCCTTCACCAGCTTGGTGCCACCCTGCTCCAGGTGCACAGAGGCGGAGCCCGGGAAGCAGCCGCCCGATTTGGCCGCCACTGAGTTCTCTGCGGGCGAGAAAGGAGAGGACAGGGTGTTGAGTTCTGAGATAGAGGCCCTTCCCGGGGAGGAATCTGGAGTGGGGGGTGGGCGCACGCTGGTGTCCACGGCGCTGGAAGCCCCCGATGCGCGTGGCTGTGGCGGGTGGAGTTTGCAGCTGCACTGGCGCAGACTCCCCTCCCCGAGTCCCATTGCCTGCGAGATAAAAATTCGGATGCAGGCGCATGAATGCCTCACCGGCTCTCTGATGGCGCTGGTGGTGACCGAGGTTAGCCGGTGGCGTCTCCTGAGAGAAGCCAGTTCCGCGCCTCCTCTAGCGCACTTCCTGCACCCCCACCCCCGGCTCGGCACACACGCCCCCCGGCCTCGCGGAGGATTCTGAAGGGTATTTGCTCTCCACTTGGATTTCCCAGGAAGCCTCCTTGAGCTCCCGCGGGCGCCGGGCTCACCGTCCTCCCCTCCCTCGCGCTGCCGGCGCTGCCGGCGCAGGGCGCGGCGCCTCCTGGTGCGCCCCGCGCCTCCCCGCCAGTCTTCCTGGCGAGGACCTCCCCTCCTCCCCGCAGTAGCACCCAGCCGGGGGCCTTGGGTGTCGGCTGTGGTTTTGAGGGGGCAGGAGTGAAAAATAGCTTGTAGTAGTTGTAGCAACTGGACAAACATTCATGCCGAGGTGTGAAAATCCGGGGCTTGTCCGGATTCTCTAATTAAAATCCAATAAAGGGCCCAGCATTGTCATTGTGATTTCTGGTATAAATACGAGATACTCTTGGAAGAGGAGACACTTCCAATCTTCTTTGCTCCACCTCCTCCCCCTAGCCCCCAGCCCACTCAGCTCGCTGGCCACCCCCTCCCTATTTGCTCAGGTGCGACCCCCACCCCGTGTGCAATTCACACACAGCCTCTCCAGAAGCCAGGCCTCACAAGCACTATTTGCACAGCCTGGCCTCTCTTCCAAGCACTCAAGATGTGTATTTGAATTTTAAATAGCCGGGCCTGCTCGGAGCGCTGGAAGCCCCGGTTCTCAAGGCTCCTTGACTACCATCTTTCTCGAGCCCTCTGTCGCTCTCGGAGGTTCGCTATCCCGGGGACAATAATGGAAGTTGGGGGCGGAGCGCAGGAAGCCGGGGAGGAGGGGGTGGGGAGGTCCCCGTCTTCTTTAGCATTCCAATCTCCGGGATCATGCTTTTTGCAAATAGAGGTTGCTAGAAAAAATCTTCCTGCTGGAATTACAGAAGGTTTTTAATCTTCTCATCAGTTTCTCCGGCATGAAGTGAGGGGCTGGCTGTGGCAGGCCCGCCGGAGCCCCCCGGAATGCGACCCGGGGCGCTGCCCAGCCCGAGTCGTCGAGTCACACGACCCTGCTTGACACGCACTGCGCCGCGCCCGGGCCGTGTGCGCCGAATGCCAATGAGCGGCTCTGCGAGCCCCGGGGTTCCACTGTGCTTTGCCAGGGCGAGGATCCTCCGGGCCGGATTACCGCTGCTCATTTGTGAAGAGACTCGAGGGACCCCGCCAGGGGGACCCCGCGGACGGGAGTGGGCTGGGAGGAGGCGGCGCGCACGTCCCGCCGGAGTGCGTCCAGGGAACTGGGGTGGCCTCCCTTTACCACCCCGAGACTGCAGGTTGGAACCGCAGGAGAAGGTTCCCGCCGCTGACCCCCCGCGAGGCGCGAGTGCCATCTCCCCTTCCCCGTTTCAGTGGCCGTTATCCCTGGGGCTGCAAACCCAACCCTCCTCAACGCGGTTCCCACACCTTAGCCTCCTGTCATTAGAAACACGGTTTTCTTTACCTACTGAATGTCTTAGTGTAAGCTCATCTATGCCGTGAAACCGGGGCAGGGGCAGGAGCTGGGCAGTGGATAGAGCGCATCCCAGACTGACTGTGAACCCTTTCGCTAACTGTGCTGCGAGATGGGGAAACTTCTATGAGTAGCGCCCGAGTCGAGGCATTTGCGCAGACGGACAATGTCAGCATTTCAGAGCTGTTCCTCCCTGGAACAGCGTGTGGCGTTGCAGGCTCAGGGAAGGCAGTCGCCCGCAGACCCGGACCAGCCTCTGCAGCTGCGCACCGCTGCACACGGCTCGCTTGTCTTTCCTGGTCTAGCCTCTGGCTCAGGGCATCCCAGCTGGGCTCCTAGTCAGAACGGGTGCTTCTGGGCCGGCGCGGCCTCCAGATGTTGAAAGTGGGAGCTACTGGGTTTATTACCTCCCACCAGGACTCTCCCCAAAGGCTTAGCCGGAGAGGTAAGTTAGTTTAGAATCCACAGGCGCCCAGCAGGGAGGAGAGGGCGCAGTAGGATGCAGCTTGCCAGGGTCTAAGCCTCCTGTCCTGGGGGTGGGGGTGGCGGTGGGGGGTGGTTGGCTAGGGGGATTGGTCCTTAAATTCTAAATGAGAGCAAAGAGCTAGACCAGACCTGGCTCAACCTGCAGCGGGGCAGCCGCTCGCCACACCTCCACCACCTGCTGTGGGGGCTCCGGAAATGGCAGTGTGTGTGTGTGTGTGTGTGTGTGGTGGGGGTGGGAGGGGTGCTCAGGAAGCCACAGGTCCCTAGTGTCTGGACCTGGGGAACCCTCCAAAGTAGGGACACTGACAGCAACCTAGTCTCCCCCGTGCCTCTGCCTCTGTGGCCCTTAATCTTCTCTTTCTTTGGAATCCAGGCCTGGGGTATGCATAAATGATCTTTAGGGCATACCTGGAGTTTGGGAGTGCAGGGTTGGTTTGGGTGGCAGGGAACAGCTGAGAGCCAGACTGGCTTACCTGCTTTCACGGAGCAGTGGATATGCGCTTTGGACTCATAGTAGACCCAGTCGAAGCCAGCTTCCACAGCCAGGCGGGCCAGCATGCCGTACTTGCTGCGGTCACGGTCGGACGTGGTGATGTCCACAGCACGACCCTCGTAGTGCAGTGACTCCTCGGAATGGTGACCATCCTCGTCCCAGCCCTCTGTCACCCGGAGCTTCACTCCTGGCCACTGATTCATCACTGAGATGGCCAGAGCGTTGAGTTTGTCCTTGCACCTCTGCAGAGAGAACAGAGGAACCCAACCCACAGACGAATTAGTACCAGTGACCCCTGCCACTCGTCCAGGCATCCTGGCTCAGGCAGCCCTGCCCAGTTGCAGTGGGCGATGGCTATTGGGAGAAGTGGGGATCAGAGCGGGAAGTGGCAGCAGGAAGAGGGGGCAGCTGGCATTTGCAGGAGAAGAGGTCCTTCTTGTTTCCAAATCGGAAGCAGTGGACACTCCTCCCAAGGCCTAAGAAACGAATGCTGTTTCCTTCAAAGATAGGAATTGCCCATTTTCAGACCCAGACCTCAGAGTCCTCCAAGGGCACCACTAGCAATGCCTGCTCATTCCCAGCCTGCTCCCCACTTGGGGCTCCCTCCCTTGGACACCTGTGTGAGCTACCCCTCAGCCCTTCTCCAGGGACTAAAACATCTCCCTCCTGCAAGGAGGCCAGAGGGAGGCCCCAGTGCAACTTTGCACAAAGAAAAGCGCACTGTGCACCTCAAGAATGGAAAGCTGGGCTTCATCTGGGGACCCTCCCTTCTCTAGCCGGTGCCTATCTGAAAAGGAAAGCCCAAGCTAAGAGAGGCAGGTGGGTGGGTGGCTAACAGCCTTGCCGAGGGGTGGGCGACAGCCACAGTGACAGGCACCAGGTGAGCTCTGGTCTCCAGAGCAGGCAGGCCCTGCAGGACAAACATTCTTTATCTGGACAGCCACATTCTTTTTTCTCGGTGGAACTTTTTCCTGCCTAGCTTTTCTGTGCTCTGATTGTGCTTGGTGTTTTCTTTAACCTGTTCCCTTCCTCCCCTCTCTTGTTTTCCTGGCCCCAGTGTAGAATGGTGTCCGGCAAGTTTGAAGAGGTGGAGAGGGAGGGGAGTGGGGGGGGGTGTGAGGGCGGGTGGGGGAGGGGAAACCTGAAAGGCACAGGATCAAATCAGGGTGAAATGAACCTTGGTTGGGATTGGGGGCGGGGGGGGGCTTGCTCATAAGTCCTGGGTCACTCTCAGATAAGAATGAATAAAAACCAGTGGAGCCAGGTGTGTGTGTATGTGTGTGTGTGTGTGTGTGTGTGTGTGTGTGTGTGTGTGTGTGTGTGAAGAGGAGTACTGGCTCACCACCTGGATGTTTAAAGGGTCCAGGAAGGAGAGGGGAGTTGGCAGGAGAGCTGGCCAGAGACAATGCTGCATGCCAGCCTAAGTGGAAGCAGGAGGGGCCGTCTGAAACGGATTTGTGCCTTGGGTAGGGTGCTCTGCGTGCGATGGGCTTATCTATTGGATGGGACCCTGGTTGCAGCAAGGGGAGGACTCTTACCAAGAGACAAGGGCAGAGAACTCTTGATGGGAGTGCTCCTGCCTGAGTTTGCAGAGACTGGGGCGCACAGTGCCACAGTGCGGCAGCAGTAAAACCCAGTACCTAGACGGTGGGTAGGGGTGGGGGCATGAGGCCCTGGCAACAGGTCAGTACTAGTAGATTTCAGGACCTGCCAGCTGTTTTCTTAAGGAAAAGTCGGAAGCGTAGAGTTTGGGTGAGGTCATCTTGTGTATTGAAAGCGTTTTACATGAAAATCAGTCACTCCACCAGAGTCAGTTCAGGGTGGGCTTCTGAAGCTGGGTGCGCGCAGGCGCACACCACCCAAACGTACCCATGCACACCCTTCTCGAGCCCCCTACGCCAGCCCGCTCCTTTCTTTAGCCCGAGCACAGACGACGCGACGCGTCAAGAAGCTGCCCATTCAGTAGCCCGAGGGAGGAGGGTGCGATCGGGAGGATCCAGGGTCCTCAGTACCCCGGGTGAACAGCCCTGGGCAGACATGGAGGACCTCAGGCAAAGAAACGCCAGCCAAGCCGGGCCAGGAGACTGGGGGGTGGCGGCGCTAGGACTGGCCCGGGAGTCGCCCTTGTAGTCCTCCTGTACCGGCGCACCCTCCCTCCCCTGGCACCACGCTCTGCGCAGCCTTGGCCTGTGGCTGCAGGATGCTCCCCCGCCCTGCCTGGGCGGGATCGCGGCTGGCCGAGTCGGGAAGCGCAGGCCAGTTATTAATTCATTGGGTCGTGTGCCGCGAATCAAGCCTGGCTCTGTGCACCCACCGTGAAGCTCCGCAGGGCTGCCGGGGCCTGGCTTTGTGTCGGCGGAGGCCAAATTGTTCCCCACGCCTGAGCGCCTGCCCGCCTCCCGATCCGCATCGCGACCGAGAGAGGGAGAGGAGGTGCCCCAACTTCCAAAGAGAGCTTCAGCCTTTACGAGCAACCTCTTTCCAGTCCCTCTTCCCTACAGGCCAGAGGTGGTGCTGGTGGAGAGGGCAGACGCCTCTCGCCGCCGCCGACGGAAGAACCCTGCCCCAACACGCGCCTTTCCCCAGCGGCTCCCGAAGCACGCGGGACAGCTACTCAAGGTGGCCTCTCAGATACAGCATCCCCCCACGCCCGCCCCAACCTCATCAGCTTTGAGATCCCGCCCCTGAGGCCCAGTCCCCAGGCACTGGCGACCTGCGCGGGAGAGTGTGTCTGTCTGCGCTTCCCCTCTCCCGAGTTAATATTAACCAGGAGTTCATGCGTTCCAGAACTGCTCTGAAAGTTCCACTGGGGACGAGCCTGCCATGGCTGAGGGACTTGGGTGGCGGTCACGTTAGAGAGCCACAGACCCAGGGAGGCCAGGTAGAGGAGGGGGAACGCGTACCTGGGCACAGGCTCCCGGTGGTTGTAGAAAGCGAGGGGTCAGCGGACAGGTGCCCCGAGGAGCCCGAGCGTGCTCTGGGCCTGGAAGGTGGCCCCGCTTGAGCCCTTCCCCCCCCCACCTGCTTGCTTCTCGCTACTCCATCCCCTCCCCCCCACCCCCCACCTTCACGCTTCAAATCCAGAGAATGAAGGACGGAGGGGTAAACCCAGGGGGACCTCTGTCTGTTGTGAGCTAGGGTTCCACGTTTTAGGGGGCAATTGTGGGGTGCGTGAAATAAACCCAACTTGGTTGTCCCCACCCCACCCCCACTTAGACGGTCATCCCCCCACCACCACCCTTGCTTTTGTGTGAGAAACGGGAATAGCCACTGCCAATGGGCGAAAAAGTATTTGTTTTCATTTTGTTCCTCTGAAGGAAGTTGACAGAAGGTCAGAAGTTCAAATGCTGCTAGTGCGCAAGCGGGTCTGGGCCCTGGGTCCTTGGCTAGGGCGGACTGCTGCGGGTGGGGGGCGGGGAGCGTTTCTAACTGGAGGATCTGGTTGGGGAGCCGAGGTCCGAGAGGTAGGGAAGGTGCCGATCCAGGAGTGGGGCGCGGCCCGGAGGAGCCAGCGCTGCACCCCAGTCCTCCAGCCGGCCTTCCCACCCCCCCACATCCGCGTCGCTCCACCCTTGCCAGTCCCCCCGCCCCCGCCGCCGGGGTAATTACGGCGACCGGAGCGCTGCTGTTAGCTCTCACGGTGCCCGCGCTTGGGCGCGTGGAGCTGCAGGGATTGGCGGCTCAAGCTCAGCCCAGTGCGCACTGAAAACCCTAGCCGCGGGATCGATAACCCAGGAGTAAGTGGAGCTGAAATGCGTCTGCCTCGATGCGCCGCTCTGCGCGCTCGCAGCTCTGCCTCTGCGCCGCAAGAATCCGGGCCCTGGACCCGGGCGCGGGCGCGAGGACCCCTCTCTCGCGCACAGATAAGGGCAGGCGCTGACCCAGCCGCTTTCCCTCGCCTCGCCTCCTTTCCAAGGGGACTCTTCTTCGCGGAAAGGAAGGGCGATCAGGAATAGGTGCCCTAGTACTCTTTCCAACCAAGTGCACGCGCCGGGCAACCTGTGCCCTGGTAGAGTTAATTGTGGCTTGCGCTGCTCTCTGGCATAGGCGCGCGTCTACACTCGCGGTCCAGATTTAAGGTGGCCGGGAGCAGAAGAGGAAGCAAGGGACCTTTCTCCACCAGCTCGGGCCAGGTGCCCCAGCTACTGAGTTCCTTTAGTTGGTCAACAAGCCAGGGTTTGGGTAGGAGAAGGGAGCACCCAGGATGGGGGGGAGGAGAGGGGACCAGGATGAGTTGCGCTTCTTGTCTTCCCTCCCGCACCCTCCCGGTGCACTTGCGCCCCACCAACATCTCTCCGCCAGCCTCTGCACGCACCTAGCCCTAAAGGTAGGACTTGAATATTTTAATAGGGCAATAAAAAGGATGTTGACCTATATTTGCAAGGAAACCCATTTCTGGCTTCAGTCATACGTGCACGGAGTTTTAGAAGTCTAGAATTGTTTGGGAGCCTGGCAGCCCAGAAGTCCCAAAGGAGCTGGGGGAGGAAGGAAGGAATTCATGTTTTGAATTCTCTTTTCCACCCCCACTAATATTTATTCGCCCCTAATTCTCATGCAAGCAGGTTGAAAACTGAAGTGATGCAACGCCAATAAGTTCTAAGTCCCTCCCCTAAGGTTCTCTGGGCTGGAGAGAATGAAAGAATATCCTTAAAGAAATATCAATATATTCACACTCTGATGGGCACAATTAGGGCCCGTGGAATGGCAGTGCGAGCTCTGTGATACAGCTGGGGACAAGCCCAGCCGGCTCTGGGTCCCCCGCTTTTGTCAGAGCGGCTTCCTGGCTTTTCCAGTTGCAGATTTTTCAGTGTGTGTGTGTGTGTGTGTGTGTGTGTGTGTGTGTGTGTGTGAGGGGATTGGGGGAGGGGGGTGGAGAGTGTATGGGATGGTGGAAAAGAAGCAGAGAAACCAGCAGGCGCTGAGCTCCAGTGCTCAAGGCCAGGTTTGCATAAGACCTAAAGGCCACTCTCTGGAAGAGATTCTTGGTCCTCAGGTCTACTTCCAACTTGAAAATGGTAGACACCCCCAAAGTAAAGGTGTCCCCAAGTTACAAGCCAAGCGTAGAGGCAGGTTAAGGAAAGCTAATCAAATCAGGACCATCCTGGACCACATCTCCTTCACTCCCCCCGACCCCCAGTGTAAACTTCTCCAGCGGGACCCCCTACCCTCCTTTCCCCTGCAGGAAGAGGAAGAGATAGATGCTAGGCTGGCAGGGGCTGGGGGAGACATGAGACACAACTGCTCTCCTAGCTGCCTAATAAGCAAACAGTAAGTCTGGAACTGCCAGGTAATACGTAGCCGCCCCCCCTTCCCACCGCATCTCACCCCCCCAGCGCCGGGCTCTACCTGAGTCATTAGCCTGTCTGCTCCCGTGTTCTCCTCATCCTTAAATATGATGTCGGGGTTGTAATTGGGGGTGAGTTCCTTAAATCGCTCAGAGTTTCTTGAGATCTTCCCTTCATATCTTCCGCTGGCCCCTAGGGTCTTCTCGGCCACGTTGGGGATAAACTGCTTGTAGGCTAAAGGGGTCAGCTTTTTGGGATGCCGTCTCTTTCCAAATCCCCTGCCCGGTCCGCACGCCAGTGCCGAGCCCACGAGCAGCGAGGAGAGCAGAGCCAGCAGCAGACACCTCACCAGCAGCAGCATCTCGTCCAGGGAACCCGATGACTCCAAAGCTCTCCCCGCGTGGGGCTGTGTGCGAGTGCGCGCCGGGGTGTGCGTGTGCGCTCTGTCTCTTGCGCTCTCGCTTCCAGGCTCTCCTCTGGCTGGCTTGCTTGCTGGCTGGCTCGCTGGCTGCTTCGCTCTTTCTCTTCCTATATAACCTTGCCCGTCGCTGCCACGGGGGACTCTTCACGGATCCCCACCCAGACAGGGGCTCCAATGGCAGGCTGCCGGTCGCTGATAACGGAACACATCGGAGTTGGGTCTCTAGACAGCAATCAAAAGACAAAAAGAGTCTGATTTCTAAATGGTAGCAAGCCTAGAGAGCTTCTGCACGCAGCAGCCTTTAGCACAATATTATAGCTGGCAGGCGCGCATCTGATTGGCCGAAGCTGCACAAGCTCGTCTTCTGATGTTAACCCTGCAGAAGACTACATTTTTTGTTGTTGTTGTTGTTGTTGCTAGTGCTGCTGGGTTTTCGCCTGAAGGCTTCCAGTTAGAACACAAAATCTCTGCTGAGATGAGGTAGGCAGGAGGGAGGAGGTTTAACTCACAGGATAACATCAGTTATCGCCTGCTTTGGGCTATGTCTGAGTTCCCCCCTTTACTTTCTCCATAATGGTAGGTGCTTCGATCAGAACCAACTTAAGTTTTTTAGACAGTCCAGAACCCCTTCTCCACATTCTCCACACTCGAGCCTCCAGAGCTGCAGTCATCCAACAATTTTTCCAATGTGTGGAGGGGCAAAGCTGACCAGATAGATTCAAAACAATTTTTTTCCCCCTAGAGATTTTTTATTCTGTAAGACTGGGTCTTTCTCTCTCCTTGCACTTGGAAGGAAGAGGACACTGCAGCCTCTCTCCTTTCCTGGAGCCTTGGAAGGAGGGTGGCTGGGAGTGACCACAACTTAGAACACCATTGTGGCAAACACTTGCAGCACCTTAGGGAGACTGGAGAATGCTCCCGTGCTTGAATGAGTGCATTAGCTTGAAGGCCTCTGCAGACTGGATGGAGGTATCCTCAAGGGGGGGCAGGTCCAGAGCCAGCCGAGGGGCCACTATGTGGCATGTGCCTGGCTATGTGGCATGCAGAGCAGGGAGAGTGTGTGCAAGATGGGTGGAGTCCATTGTGCCCGGGGGCAGCAGCAAGTGGGCAAGGCTGCGCGCACACACACACACACACACACCTCAGCCATGATCCATTGATCAGAGCAAAGTGCAGGACAGAGACTAGTAGACTGTGGGAGCTAGGCTCCCTGTCGCAGCCTGAGGAGCTGGACTCTGCAGGAATACGAGCTGGTCAGAGCTTAGGCACGGCAGCCTGAGGCGGATTGTTCTGTGCACCTGTATGTGTGTTTGGGGGGGGGGATGCCAATGTTCTAGTAAAAGTGTGTGGGGAAGAATTTTGGAACGAGCAGCCAGAGGTGAGCTGATTTTGAGTGCCCAAGAAAGAACCTCTTGTTTCTTTCTAGAAAAAAAAAATCTCAAAAAGTTCTCATTGAACCAGAAAAACAAAATGTGAAGCTTCCTCTTTTTAGGAGAGCCCCTCCCCATCCCACTCATATATACAATAATTCTTCCAGAATGGTCCAAGGGAGGGATGGTTTATTCATGTGGAATGGAGGTACTGATCCTGAGGAATAAGCAGATCCTGTGAATGTTGCCCTGTGCAGTTAAAGGTTCTCCCTTGACCCCTAGCCCAGGGTTGTGTGCAGGCTAGCGGAGGGGGGTGGGGAGCGGCGCAGGAACAGAGGTGGGGGGGGGGGCGGCGCCAGGGGCGAAGCCCAGTCTGAGTCCCTTTAACAATGGGACATTTCTTGCAGGTCTCCCTGCAGATAAACTTTCTTGTTTCTACATCCTGTCTCCTCTGTCCTTCCTTCCAGTGGGGGTGGGGTGGGGGGAGCTGTAGAGAAGGCGCTGCACACCTAAGGAGACACATATGACAAGAAACATGTATGGTGGATAAGAGAAAGCATGTTGAGGGGGCAGCCTTTGTCCCGTCTTCAAGGCTGACCCAAGCTTATCACGTCCCACTTGGACTGGTCTACCACAAACCCCTGGGGCCCGAAGTGGCAGAGCAACCCCCTCCTGCACTCTGGCAGGCAGCCAGGGTCTCCTTGAACCCAGGCTGCGGAGCTCTGGGGACAAACCGGACCCAGCGATTTTCCAGGCCCTATGCCCCGCGGCGGCTGGGTTGTGCGCTCCCAGGAAAAACAGGAGAAAGGACCCACGCTCCTCTACCTAAGCAGGGCCGACCTGCTGGCTGGAGCTACCTGTGTAAGCCGCAGACACCGTGTCGTGTCGCTGCCGGTGCTGGGCTCTCCAGGCACCCCGGTAGGGCACTCCCTCTGGCCCCTCTGCCTGGGCATCTCGTTGGGCCTCGCTCTCCCTTCCTTTCCGTTTCCCACCCTCTTGCTCCATCCCTCACAAATACAGGCAGAAGGGCCTAAGCGCCTGGTCGTGACCCTTGTGGAAGACCCCGCGACCATTGCCACCATCAGATCACCACTGCGCCGGGGAGGCGCGCGCCCCGACCAGCGACACCCGCACCTGCAGACGGCGCGTCTCCGCGTCGTGCAAGGTAGGCGGGCTGTGCTTTGGAAGGAAAGAAAGGGAAGAAAAGAAGCCTTCCGTTGCATAGAGCTTCTGATGGACACAGCTGGACTTGGGACCGCCTGCAGGCACGGTCAGCTCCTCCGAACCAGCAAGGACCCGGGCTGGGGGAGCCCTGGTGCGCAACGCGCTGCAAGGATTCGCAAGCGGGTCAGGACTCCCCCGAGGGACAGCGGGGTGGCAGGTCTCTTCCCGTTCCGTTCCTTCGCCTGACCAGCTCTGGACACTTGGAGTGCTGGATAGTCTCTTGCCTTCCCTGGGTCCTGCTAGGAAACAAAGATGCCTGATCCCTGCCGTAGACTAGAGAGATTTTCTGCGATTTTTCAAAGCAGTCACAACTTACATTTATTGTTGATTTTGAAACCAGTGTACAGGGTCAGTGAGGCCTCTGTGCCCCCCCCCCCCATCTCCTTCCTGGGCCTTCCGTTCCCCCCTCCCCCTTTGCACTTGCACACACCAGTCGCAGATGCCTTCCACCTCCAGACACCAGATGGCTCCCTCTCTTTGCCTTTCTTTCCCCCTCTGGTCGGTTGGGGCCCCTCCCTGTGCCAGTCAGAGGTTCCAGTCCCCAGCCTCTGCCAGACAGGCCCAGGTAGCCCAGATACCCTCAAGATCCATTTCTAACTTGTCTGCACCCTATCCTTTTATCGTTGGTCATTGCCTTGTGCCCTCCTCCCACTTAGCAGCCGTGCTCATTACAGGGGGGCTTCCTCTGTCTTCTGCCCCCAGCCCCCCAGGAGGCGCTTTTCTGGGCTCTGTGCCCCCCACTTCAGACCCCCCGCCGCTAGATGGCCTCCTCACTCTGCCTTCAGGCCCCTGCCTGACTGGTTTGGGGAATTCCCACAGTCCCTCCTTGAAGGGTCCCGGCAGCAGGCTGACTTCCATAATTGTTCCTCTGTGCTCCTGTGGCTGGCTTCTGCCCTCCTGTTGTGGACCCGTGGGTCCTGCAGCAACCTACCGTGCTGGGTGCCCCACCCAAGCCCTTGCTTGACAGGCTCCTCTAGCCTGTGTCCCAACACCCAACCCCTGGGGTCTGGTTCTAATGTTACACCTTCTTTCGGTTGCATTCTTCCTCATGAACATCCTACACCAATTCTTTTCGACTTTGTTCCAATCCTGGCAAATAGGATTTGTGCTGTACGGTGCCTAGCTGTGGTTATGAGCCTAGGTTTGGGTGTAGGGGATGCTCCTCCTTAGCGCTGTTCTCCTAACCCCATGGTCCTTCCCTGGTCTCTAAGCCTGTAGGAGGTGAGCTGGCCCAGGCGGGTTTTGTGGCTGACCCAGAAGCCTGGGAGCACCCTGCAGGCCATTGACCATGCGGGTGGATGGCACAACCCCTGTGGAATGGCTTTGGGCTTGCTCAACTCCCCATGTTCATATCCAACTGCACTCACTCCAGCTGGGAGGCAGTGAATGTGGCCAGCAGGAGGCGCTGGCTCTAGGGTCCTATCTAGTGGGCTGTACAACTTGTCCTGGCTCAGCAGAGTGGAGGACTCTGGGCAACTTCGCACTCCCTGGCTCCCTCAGCTGGGTTAGACTCTGGATTCTTCCTGGTTTCTGGGACCCTTGCAAACAGCGGTGCCAGTAGTGCAGCTGCTTGGCTCACCAAGTCCTCTTGAAAAAGGCTGATACTCTGGGGGTTGTGCTTGCTCCAGGTCCTTGCTCTAGGAGGGTGGACCTTTCAGTTTGTTTTCCTCCACTTGCCCTGTGATAGCAATGATGACTTTCAAACCGGGGGTGCTGAGAATCAAGGTTGTAGAGTCGAGGTGTTGGCCTGCAGCTCTCAGGAAGCTGGGATGGTCCCGGAGCAGCAAATGGAAGGTGGAACTGAGTTGTGTGTGTGGCAGGTGGTCATCCCCTGGTGTGAATACGCTAACTGAGCACTCAGCCTGAGCTGCACTGTTGTGTGATTTTTCCCCTCACACCAACTGGCTGGACTCCCTCCAGCTTCATTCTCATCTGGAAATATGTCTTCTTAGGCCTCAGCGATGCTTCAGGCATGTGGCTCCTTAGGATGGTTTCAGGGACACTTCAAGTTATATTTATCAGTTGGAAAGGGAATCCCCACATGGGGCAGATGTCCTTGCGCCTGGGGAAGCAGGATTGGATGGGACCCCAAACCCCACTCTTCTGATCCTAAGTGTGCATGCTGTTCCTTGCACCACAGCTACCTTGGAACTCCACCAGGAAACTATCATGCCTCCAATCTTTGAACCTAGTTAAGATGCAGATGCCCCTGGGAAAGTTAATACATTAAACCCTGTGCACATTAGAGTCACCTGGGGAGCTTTTGAAGCAAGAAGCCAAGAAACAGTGCCTGGGCCTCACTCCTGAATGATCACGTCAGAATTTCTGCTTTGCTGGTTTCCCTGTGGGAATCCCCCACACCCGGGGGTCGGGATGGGGTGGGGGTAGTTTGGGAGAAACCTTTGGCCTCAGGTTTCCAGCTGGGTCCCAGATCTGGATGGATGACTTGTTCAAGTCGGATGTGCTCTTGTGTCTGGGGACCCTTGCCTCCTCCAG